TGTTAGGTCAGCTTCCCAAAGGTTCGATTTGTGTCCAGGCAGCAAATTGCAGATTACGGTATGTCTAGGCAGATGCTTTTTGAGAGATCTGCCTCTACTGTCCTATATGCGTACAGAATTTATTCCAGGGTTATGTGGGATGAATGGTACCACTTGTGGAAATTGGAGGGATTTGACATGAAGTACACGGTTCAATGGACTGCCTAAATCTCAAGTCTTACGATAGTTCTGTTTGCTACTGAAGTGCTTCTTGAAGAGCCTTATAGCTGAAGGTGAATGTCACCAGCTCTGGAAATAGGATGCATTCCCACGACTGCCATGACCAAGCAGGCTTTTGTCCTTGTATTGTCCGCTCTGCTATTCTATGGGGCAGCTCAGGAAGTTACCATGCTAATCACTTCTTTTGTTTTCAGATAATATGATATACGTGGTGTCCAGTTGTCTTGAAGTTAACACCATCTGATACTCAGTTTCCAAGGAGAAAACCAGTGTGGCTAATCTGGGAGAAGAATGATTAATCGTATTATTTACAGGTTGAGGAAATCTTCATTGTGAGCAGTGACCATAGCAGCTTCCCTATTCAGGAGAAATGGCAAAAGCAACTATGCATCCTTTTCTTTAGTAAGACACTTGAAACAAGGCTGTGAGAAAGCCTGTCTGAAGCTTAAGTTATCTGGGTGGACTGATTCTGTTGCTGGAATTTTTTTTTGGTAGGGATGCTCCAGTGCATTGTCTTCAGGAGAAGATGATGAGAGAGTGTTGCAGCTTCTGAAGCACGTCAGAAGATTTCATGACAATACAGGGCATACAAGAAAGCCCAGAGCAGGGAGGGGATTGGCCTTTGAGTTCAGAGGTAACAGACAGCATGTGCACTTTAAGTAAATGAGATTGCATAAAAGAAATGTTGTGCTTGTATCATCAGTGACATGTAATGCAAACAACTAGAGAACTCCCCGCAGTGGAGAAAATGCTGGGGTCCTAAAGGGAAATTCTGATGCAAGAAAAGAATGAGACGCCGATGCAAGAAAAATCCGTGGGGCTGTAGCCCGGAAAGCTTGTATTGAGTGTTGTTGCTAGGACTGCACTAGGCCTTGTAGCCTAGGAGTTCATGGGACTCTCTGGCACTGCACAGTCACACAGCCTCTTCCCTGCCAGGGGACGTGCCCCGGATCCTGCTTCTGAATGCATAACTGGTTGGTTTGTCACATCTTGCCTCCACGCTCAAGTACATACCTAGTCAGTAGGTAACCAGCGGCTGGATTGTCCTGAGTATGCGACTTTTCCCAAAGTAAGTGAAACAAAAAAGAACTTCACCAGCTTTGGTTTCTGATGAAGAGCTATTGCAGCTGAGCTATCTCCTTAGGAAAGCACATAAGGAGAGATTAGATGTTATAGTGATGTGCACCATCTTCTAGACATATGTAACTGTGTTAGAGGAGAACTTAGAACAGGATACTCGCAGTACTCCTTGTTTGTGGTTCATGATGGCCCACTGTCATGAGAAAATGTCTGCAAAGACAGAAAATGTTTTAGTGATTGGTTTTGATAGTATGGTACTTGGTGAGCAGTACTTCCTTCCATGAGGAAAAAAACACAAGTATCTATAGCTGGTACAAAGAGGCTGTTTGAAAACACCTGGACTGAGCTAGATAGAACATAGCTACTAGCCAGGAGAGGAAGAAAAGGAGAGACAGCCCACTGATTTTGCCAAGGGTCTGTAAGGTCTTATTCAGATACCATAAAGAGCTTCTAAGGAAAATGGGCAATAGGCTAAATTATAAATGCTCATTTGGAGTTGGGCTTCTAGATCAATATTACCAACAACACATCCATGGCATTCATAGCTGCGAAGCTGTAAATGACTAGCCATCGTTCAAGTTCGTCAATAAGTCACTAGAGAGAGCACTACCAGGAAAGTTGCAGTCACGATAAGCCTTGCAATTATAGGGTGTATCCAACAAATCACAGTGGAAAAGGGGATTCTGGTCTTCTCCATGCCCTTTTTAGGTGATTAGGAGAAATGACACAGATTTATAGAATAACAAAAATTGATAATGATGCAGGGCTTAAAGGAAGCAGATGAGGTAAGTGTGAAGAAATGACCAATGAGATTTTTATCATTTGTTTCAAAAGTAGATGGGGGAAAGACTCCGAAGAAGCTTGAGGACAAAGCTTGATAGAATAAGAAACAGACTTGTAGGTTTTCTTCAGGGTTGGGCAGCTAATAACGAAACATTAGCTACTCTGTGCATCAGGATCTGTGAAATGTGTGAGTGAACACTTACTAAACTTAACCTGATAGATGAGATGTTCAAAAAATTTCTAACTAGAGAGCAGTTTATCCTGGATTGTCTTTCAAGAGGAGAGAGTGACAGTGAACATACACCCCCGCTGACAGGGAAGATTGGCTCTGAGAATTAGCCCTCTATTAGTTCATCACTGGTTTTATGATGAATCAAATGTGATGATGATCATTATGTGTAACAGGGAAAAAACAGCAGTAAGAAATGCCTGCAAGTCTGATCTGAGAAAATTATCTTTAAAATTAGAAAACGGTGTCTGGAAGACAATTAATTAGCAATGAACACATTGTGCCAGCATCTGGAGGCAACACAATAGCAACAACATGATGTAGATTTCCAAGAAAGGCAGGATGATCTGGAAAAGAAGAATTCACATCAGTATAAAAGTAGAGCTGTTGAGGATAATACCTTTCATCCAGGGAGCACTTTCTCCCAGAACTGCTAATGGAGAGGTTGTTGCAAGGCATCCCTCAGTCTGCTTGCTTTTCCGATGCCACAGATTGACGCTAACACTATCAAAGAACTGATTCATTTACAAATGGTTTGTGATAAGCTTAAGGCTGCCAATTTGAAATTGAATCCAGGGAAACGC